AGACGCTTAAGGACTGAGCCACCCAGGCGCCCCTGACTAGTATTTTAAACCTTCTTTCTCCTCTAATCTTCCACCCCAGCTAATGACCTCAGTTCTCATTTCACCAAGGAAAACACAAAGAATACCTGGACCTCCTCATCTTCCCACAACAAAATTGGCCCATCGATTTGCATCTAGATGTACTTTCTGCATTCCTTCTCATCCTTGCTCCTGTCAAAGACCAGCCCTCCACCATTTCTACTCCTGACCCTCTCAGCTCTTATCTTTTCAATGACTTGGCTGTTTATTCTTTTCCCTGAAAGATTATTTTTCTTTCTCTCCTATGTCACTCCTATGTTATAATATCACTCTTTTTTAAAAATTAAATGAAGTCCCTCCCACTGCACATCAAAACTTTTTCCATAAGCATTATTTCCAAATGTTGTCACTAATTATTTGATTTGCTTTCACCTCCTCCAGTTAAGCTCCCTTCCCCAACTTCCACTGAGAATGCTCTTGTCAGGGCAGGCTCTGTCCACATCATGCCGATAAATACAATGGTCCCTTTTAATTTTTATCTCATTTGGCTTCTGGAATATGTGACACAACACTTCCTTCTCTTGGCTTATGGGAGACCACTGCCCTTCCTTTCTTCCCACCTTGGTCTCTTTTGCTGTGTTCTCCTCTTCAGGAGGTATTCACCAAATACCCTATTTAATTGTGGTAAGATTCGGTACTGGTTCCCCTGGTAATCTTCATCTGTATGTGTTACAAAAGTAACTTTAGCTACTCTTATGCCTTTAAAAATGTTTTCTATGCCTCCTAATGGTGATTCTTAAATCTCTATATGCAGTACTGAAATCTCTCTTGAACTCCCAACTTTGTACCCAACTGCCTACCTGCATTTCCACTTGAGATGTCTAAAAGGCATCTTAAATTCAACACAGCCCAAGGGACCTCTTAATTTCCTCCCTAAATATTTCCTCCCAAAGTTTCCCACCTCATGAACCAACACAGCTATCTATCCCATTACTCAAGCCAAATATCTTGAAATCATCTCTGATTCTTTTTCTCTCTCATCTCACAACCAATCTATGAATAATTCTACTAAATCCAAATCCAAAATATATCCAGAATCTAACAACTTTTTACCAGCTTCATGATATCACCCTAGTTACAAGTCATTATTATGGCTCTCTTGGACTACTGAAACAATTTTCTAACTGATATCCCTGCTTCTACCCTGGTATGTTCCTAAAAATCTTATTCCTCAAATGGCAGGTAGAATCATCTTTTTAAAACATAAATCTGATCATACCACTTTCTTTCTCAAAACTCATTATCTATTCACATTTTAAATAAAAGTCAAAAACCTTAGTTGGCTTACAAAGTACTATATGATCTAGCCTCTAGTCAACACTCCAAGAGTCCCCTCTGCCTCCTGCCTGCTCTGCTCCATCCATATTCCCCTTCAAACATGCCAAGTTTATTCATGCCTAGGGGATTCCCTCAACACACAAAACAACAAACTGAACTAAACGAAAACAAAAATAAAAAGCCAAAAAACTGCTGGATCATCGTATCATTCAGATCCTCAGAGAGGTTTTCCCTGAATACCTTAAAATAGCCATCCAGTTACTCATGTTATTTGAATTCTCTATACAGTATTTATCAGTAACTCTGTTATTTTTTTGTTTACTTATTCCCTCAGCTTTGTCCCTATCTACACCTCTTCACCTGGTCTTAAGTATAAGAATATACTAACCATGACAGCTTAAAGGACTGCATTAAGAGACACATTATTAAATTAATGAATCTGCATTTTACATGCTGTACCAAAGGATTACCTTATCTAAGGACCTATGAAGTGATAAAGATTAAACTGAAAACCAGGTCTATTGATATTATATCCTAAATGATAGGTATATTTCTCTCTTTGCTACTGCTATTCTCCATTTTCTCCTGTTCATCTTTTGCATTCATATTTGGGCATTAAACTTTATGCCATAAATAATCAGGTCTTTCACTTGCAACATCAATATAAATGTGAGTGGGCTTGAGGACATTAAATATCTCAAGCATCTAATGAGGTTTACAAAGATGAGTTCTACATGAAAGTAAACTCAAACTCCCCACACTACAAGCAAAACTGGCTACAGAAATTTTACTTTTAAATGAAGAAAAATATCTTTCCCTAATTACATTCCACAGTAACTATAAACTACATTATTAAATTTATAAAAAAGAAAAAGATCCTGAAATAACTGAAAACCAGCACTTACAAAAGAATTTTCCATTTTAAGATATGCTAGTACACCAAGCAGAATTTGCCATTAAGCTGACAGTAAAAACAGGAACTTTGATGAGTCATTCTCAACTCATATGCCTTCAAGAAGACTGACAGCAGACTCTCACCTCATATGGCTGGGCATGAAAGGGAGGGCATACTCACAAAGAGAAATGGGTCATGATAAGCACAGACAAGCACACTCAAAAAGAGAATTCAAAGAAGAACAGGGCAAAGACAGACAAATCCAGATCCTATGCTCCAGATTACCTAATACTGATTAATAACGCTCTTTAGAACTTAAACTCTCAAATCACACAAAGTAAGCATCAGGTTTTATACAGAACGATTTAAGACCAGTTTATAAAATCCATTCCCATAAATTATTTCTGACTAATCACAATGACTAAAAGGTTCACAGAAAGCCTCTGATTAGTCAAAATCCAGTAAAGAAATATTCAAAATAGTATGTTCCATAGTGTCATAAAAACCGTAGCAAAACTACCCAAATCCCAATGCCTTTACCAAAACAAACAAACAAACAAAAAATACCACACCCATGTTTTCTACTTACCAGTCCTAAAATAACTCGTAATTGAATCTCTAGTAATTCCTGGAATCCTGCAGGTGGAAAACAGCATTCGGAATTGATTCATATCTAGAGGACTATTTCCAGATTTATCAACAGGTACTTTTTCTCTATTAAAACAAACGAAAAAAAAGTATTTTGATCAACAAGTCATTATAAAACTTATAAACCAAGTAGTCACAACTGCAGTATCCTCAACTAAGTAAATTAAGCTTCTCAACATTTTGCCACTTCAAACTTTGGGTAAATCTGCTACTAAATTCACATAACTGTCCTTACTTTCTTAATAGCTGCCAGTAGTTCAAGTTATGCCAAAGACTTATACTTCCTCTTTCCAACTGAGTGCCTTCCTTTGGAGGCCAGCAGTGTTCAATATAAGGTGCAGGACCAGCAAAATTGACATTCAGTTGCGATGGTAAACGAACATCCAGATAGGCAAAATTCAGCCACCATTCTTCCAGCTAAAAGAAATTAAGAACATCAACCTAATGCTATTGAGAATACTTGAATGTGTAACAGCAAGAAAAAAAAAAAGCTGTATTTGTTCTTTTCTCTTTACTCTTTAACACTTAAAAACATGTTTTCTTACCCACATCCATTGTATACTAACAACGGATTTTATTATACATAAATTTTACCTCAGTAACTTTGTTCTGAAAGCAAAAAAAAAATTAAGAAATAAAAACATGTTTTCTTGCTTTAAATCATCATAGATATTGAAAAATGCTATTGTGATCATTTCTTTTTTTTGGAACTACAGGATCTTAAATACTATTCAGCTTAACTACACTATCAAAAACAGGCAACAAGAAAGCACTGAAAAGGCACCTTTTCAGACGGATCATATTGGAGTCACAAATACCAAACTAAGTACTTAGGTGTGTTTTCTCAGAGCACCTTGGGTAAATAAATACAAAACAAATCCTCACTTAATTTTATCAACTATTAAGGCATTTGCAATTATCCTTTTCCAAGCAAAAACTGAAATACTAAATCAAAAATATAAAACCTTTTCAGTACACTTAAAACTAATTTAGATTTTTCAGAGCGAGAGCTTTACGTGTCCCTCTTTTACAACATGCAATTGAATTTCATGCATAAGTAAGCAGATCTCATCAGACTATCTGGAGTTATTTTTAAGAAACTGATGTTATAAACTATAATCAATTGTTCAGAAAGAGAAATAAGCAAAAGGATACAGACTTCTTTACCTTTACCCTGATTTAATTAAAATCGCTCAAGTCTCAAGATTGAGAATAAGGGAATCTGGAAGTATAAAATTTTATTATTCCATCATAGGTATCAATAACTAATGGAAAGATCAGTTTCCTTTTTATTTCTAAAACTTAAAGATAGCTACTCCTGATTTCTAGATTAAGGCAATGTTTTTTAATTACAAAAACTTATCCTCTGGTTCATACTACAGAAGTAATTAAGATGAAGAAGTCAAAAATTCTGCAGGAAATTATTGAGTGCCTCAGTAATTATTATACCAACATCTCCCCTTCAATCTATCTAACTGAAACACATAATACTCATAACCATTCTCCACTCCAATTTTGTAATGGCCCCTTCTCTCTCATATGATGTTTAAATATTTGTATGCCACCTACGTGGTAGGTCTATTTTTAGTGTCTGGAGTTTTTTCAGGCTGGGATTACCTGAACAAAATGTTTCTCACAAGCAAGGTCTACAGATCACCTCCATCAGAACCACATGGGACAGCTGTTAAAATAAGGGTTTCTGGGCCCCCATTCAGAATCACTGGTCCCAGGAAATCTGTATTTTGACAAGTTCCCCATATAAGAAAGGAGCTCACACACAACACTCAAAACTCCCTAGAGTTACACAATTCATTAAGTCTTTTAGATGACTATAACAATGACTGAAAGGACATTTACACTAATAATTTTAAAATAAAAGCTATTTACATTTTTATTTTTCATTCTTTAGGCATCATCAATTTTCTAATCCTAAGTACAATAACATAAATACCCAATTTCTTTTTCCTTTTGCCCTTTCAAGTAATTTCTGGTGCAGTTTTCTTCCAATACCATCTTGAAATTTTTGGACAATTTCTTTAGTTCTTTTGTATTCTTCTTTATTTGCAAACGGCTTTACTATAAGGAAAAAATATGTGTTAAAATATTTAGACATCAAGTAACACAAATAATGTTTGTGTTACTCCACTATTACACAAATAATGAGACTCAATTATGTAAAACAATTATGTATGCATTAATTATCATAGCAGTTCAATAAATCAGAGTTTACAACATGAAAATGACTGAAAAGCAACATAGTAAAATGCTGTAAAAAAAATTAAACAGTGGATACTATGTAATCTGATAACTCTTAAAATCATTCTGGATGATGACAGTTAAAATGATAAAGACAGGACTATCCTCTAGCTATTGGTCCAACAGAGAAGTAAATCCTGTTTAGCAATGAATAAGAGAAATTAAAGCTTGTTTCCAACTAATGTTCAAGCAGAGCCTTGAACAGCATGTATGTAAACGCAATACGTATGTAAATTTAAGTATAAAGCCTGCCAGAACCAGTAATGGTTTCCTTCCCCAAAAAGGGGGGAGGGGACAGGGGTTTCTAGTCCATGAAAATGAACACCAACTGTTCTGAAAATTAAGCTACAGACAAAAGTCAATTAGTAATCAAAGGACATTAATATCTTCCTTCTGCTTTATTTTGTCTCTTCAAAGTACTATCTTAAAGTCAACTTAAATAGCTGTATTTAGAAAAAGGACAAATGAAATGAATAATAAAAATATAGCAAATAATCAGTAAAGTTTTTAAAAAAGAAACTAGAATTCCCAGATAAAAGTAAATGAGGAAAAAAAGGAAGAAATTTTAAAAATATCAGAGGACTTTCATTTAAACAAAGTGAACTAAATGCATACATTTATCTCTAATCCTTCTAGAAGCTCACTAAAATGACAGTAATTAAAAAGGCATAAATCTATAAGGACAAAGAATGTGAAAGGAGAGTGCAGCAGACCAGTTAAGCTAACATTTCACACATTAGAAAACAGATGAGAAAATGGTAACTGAATTTGTAGAATGGAGAAAGTTAGTATCTAAAGCCTGGAGAGTAGAAGGTTAAGAAGAGACAAGGTAGGGTTAAGTGCAAACCAAGAAGCAAGCCAATGCCTGCAGTAGAATCCCAGAAAGGTTAAAAAATTCAAGGCAAATGGACTTCCAAAGGGGGCAAAGACTGAAAACGGGTTGCTTAAAAGTGTTCAGAAGCAGCAAACAGTCCCATCCACACCCACACCTGTAGATCTTTCTCCACTCTGGGAAGCCAGGCAACTTCCTACCAACACCAGTAGAAATCTAGAGTTCTACTCTTAGGACAAATTGAACCAGAGAAGCAATTTAAATAGATCCTAACCCATACTGAAAAAAAGAGAGATTATAATCAAAGTGTACACCCAGAACAATAAGCCCTCCAGCCTCCTTCCCCTAGTTAGCTCCCAAAACACTAGGTATCAGGTTCATGCCTTCTAAACAAAAGAGGACTCTTCTCTGGGGAAACGGATCAGTCCAAGAGAAGTATGACTGATATCTGGGCATGCCCTGGTGGAACTGCTAGATCTCTGCAACAAGGCTCACTAGAAGGCCCACCAGTCACCAAGCCCCTACCCATGCACACAGAACTCTCAATCAGCTTTTTAGGGCCTAACTCTTAAAAATGAATGACTAATGATTGTCAGATATTTGAGGAAAGCCTCTCACATGAGAATCAAAGAGCAGAATAAGCAAAAACGGGTTTGGTGACACCCAACAGTAAATAGACCAGAAAGGGAAAGGCACAATAATGAGGAAAATAATTTTTTAATCAAAAGCTTAGTCCAGAACACCCCAGATCCAATTAACAGGAGTTCCAGAAAGAGAGGGCAAAGAAAGGAGGAGAAAATTATCCAAGAAAAAGTATTTTGAAAATTTCCTAGAATTGAATTACATGAATTTTTTTAAGCTTCAAAGAATCTCCTGTATATTCAGAGAAATAAATGAAAAAATCTATACACTAACGGACATCAAGAAGTTCAGAATGGTAGGGATAAAGAAAAAGGTTTCCAAATACATCCAGAGTGTAAAAAACAAGTCACAAATAAAGGATCAAACAGAATGGCATCTCAGGAGGAACTTCTCAGGAGGAACAAACAGTACCTTCAAAACTCTTAAGAAAAATCATTTCCAACCCAGAATATTTTATACTCAGCCAAAAAATCAAGTATGAGGGTAGAATAAAATTTTAAGTCTTACATTCTTTCCTTTCCAGAAACACTTTTTCCCAAGTAGCTACTGAAGATGTACTTCACAAAAATAAGTGAAAAGAGGAAGAAAAAAAAAGACAGGAACCAGGGAATCCAAAACAGGAGAGAGAGGTAAAAAGAATTGCCAGAGATGGGGGAAGGAAAGCTCCAAGGTAACAGCTGTCCAGCCAACTCAAGAAAAGTAAACACTAATGGGAGCAAGAGGGCAGAGGGCCCCAGGAGGGATGTCTCCAAGAAATGAAACTGAGAGAATAGCTTATGTATATAATGTATAGGTACATACCTATATACATATCATATCTCATGTATATAATGTAGTCAGGAATTTTCAGTGTATTGAAGTATTTGGGAGTGAATTACTTAAGGATACAAAGCAAAGTAAGCAAATGAAAAATGAGCAAAACAAAACAATGCCATAAAAAGGCATTCAAAGTACACTGAATGGTTCTCTTGTGAATAACTGCATAACGATAAACCCTAGATGGTCAGGTAAATTAACTCATGTACATACTAATTTAAATCAGGTGAGACCTGGAATTAAATCAGGTGAGTACTAATTTAACCCAAATGGTGATTTTGTACAACTATATTGAAAGAATGAAAAGGAAAATGTGGGTATGTTATATTGCCTATACGTTGGGTGTGAAGAGGGGGAAGGTTAAAGGTGTGAAAGAGCTAAATCCACATCTTCTTAGGAACAAATTTATAATACCCACAACTAAAAAACCCTAAGAAATACTAGTATAAAAGTTTACTTTAAATCCGGAGATAAACAATACAAAAAAAAAAAAGATAAAATATTTGTCTGAGGGAGTAGGATTGGGGTGGGGAGTGGAGAATAAGGCAGAGGCCTACTACTTTTTATTATAAACCTAATAGGTTTATACGCTTTTTAAACTATGGAAAAATTAACTTGAGAGATAAAGACAGAAAAGTTCTGGACATTTTTAAATGCCTTTGTTTTTTCGGTGTTTTTTTGAGAGAGAGAGCACGAGCGGGTGGGGATGGAGGGCAAAGGGAGGGGGAGAGGGACAGAGAATCTTAAGCAGGCTCCATGCCCAGCTCAGAGCCCAACACAGGGCTCGATCTCAGGACCCTGAGATCCTGACCTGAGCCAAAATCAAGAGTTGGACACAACCGATGGAGCCACCCAGGCGCTCCAAGTTCTGGACATTTTAAGGATACTTTAATTATCATGAGCCTAAAGGAAAAAGCAATTAGACCTTCATCTACTTCTAATACTTTCAGTTTTCTAAGTTGCTAATAATATTATTATATACTAGAAGATTACAAACATACCTGATTCAAGGTATTTTTTTAATGATTCTTCAAGTGAAGGAACAGGCAGAGATGGAAGAGAATCCTGGTACTGAAATGTTCGTTCTTCAGTTGATTTAGCCAACTGATTTTCCATGATGCAAGCACAGCAGGAAAACTAAAGAAAAAAGCCCTGACAGTTTTAATCTCATAAATATTCTTATATATGCTAGTTCTAATTCACTAAATCATTATTTAGGGACCATAGTATAACCAGAATGTGGTCCTAGCCCTTGAGGAATTCATAAACTTGTTGAAGAAAATCAATTTAAAAAAAAAAAGCATTGATTCCAAGTGCTGGAATTCAAGGAGTCATCAGTGGAACTAGTGTAATTTTGATTTACTGAGCACCCACTATTTGCCAAGTAGTACAACAGGTGTGATACAAGATATGTATCTAACCTTCATATTATCCCTGCCTTTTGACAGTCACCTCCATTTTGCATATGAAGAAATCAAAACTCAAGAGTTCAGCAACTTTCCTAAGGTCCAACCCACATCTCTTTCATCAAAATCTTCGCCCTACATTAAAGCTAAGTGAGAATGGGTGAGGAATCTCCCGGTAGGTCTAAATGGGTAGGGAGAATTCAGTTGTGAAGAAAAGTATGATGGGTGGAAAGAGAGAACTCTCTAGAATAAGAGCAGTTTAAGACTCATCCAGCTGTAGAATATCACAGAATACCTAAATCATGACAAGCTGCTGTAGCCTACTTATGCAGATGGTTTGAGGCCTACACAGAACAGTTTCAAGTATCCCAAAGCAATCTTAAACATTTACCACAAATTTATTAATTTTCCTCAGAGAAATCAAACTAACCCAAAATGTGAATGAGGTATACAAATGTTAAATGGAAAATGAGATTTCTCAAAGAAGCCTTTAAAAATTAAGTTATATAGTATAATAGCAATTGAGAAATCAAGGAACATTAGTAAGAATTACCTTCCTTTCAAATACCACTTTTTTTTTATTCTTATGTTAATCCCCATACATTACATCATTAGTTTTAGATGTAGTGTTCCATGATTCATTGTTTGTGCATAACACCCAGTGCTCCATTCAATACATGCCCTCTTTAATACCCATCACCAGGCTAACCCATCCCCCATCCCCCTCCCCTCTAGAACCCTCAGTTTGTTTTTCAGAGTCCATCGTCTCTCGTGGTTCGTCTACCCCTCCGATTTCAAATACCACTTTTTAAATTAAAACTAATAGCAAAGCCAAACAAAATATTCCACTCACAGAAGGTTATGGAATAAAACATTATCAAAAGCTAGGGTGTGGCAGAGGTTGTTATGGGGCAATATAAATTTTCTCCTTTTTTTCTTAACAGAATCCTGAGTTCCAACTGGGTATAAAGCCACACAGCTTTATCTTTCCTACCCTGCTCTGGAGCTCAGTAGGACTTTGTAATATGTCTCCTCCAGGTCATGCCCCTATAAAGGACTAACTACACGTACTCTCCCTGTGTTTTCTCTCCTCACTGCCTAACAGGTAGGACCAACTGAAGCAGCACCTTGCAACTGTTTATGGAAGCCATGTATTGAGAGGTTATCAGAATCTTCCTACTAGCCCTAGCCTTCTCCCACTAGATGTATGAAAAAACATTTTTATTCATGTCATTGTATTTTGGGCTTTCTTTGTCAGGGTAAAAGAGTTTAACCTATACCACTAAAATAAAGATATAATCCAAAAATAAGACACAACAAAGATCTCCTAATTCCTCAGTTTCTTCCCATATAATGACTTTGGCTGTACTTTATTTTGACCATCCATAAATATTAGTTTTAGACCCAATGGAAATACAGGTAAATACCAACTCCACCACTCTCTAGCCGTGAGCTTCTGGGCAACTAACTTTAACTGAATTTCCTTACCTGTAGAGAGGATAATTATATAGTCAGAAAGAGGTGTTATTAGGACTATTTTTAAATGCCTACAAAAACACATTATAAAAATAATCTAGTTGAGACAACCATATTATGCTAGGCAAAATTTCCAGGAATGGCTCCCATGATTCCACCCTTATACTCCCCAGAACCTGTGAATATAAGGAGATCAGCACTTCCGTGATTGTGACCATGTTGTCTTATACAGCACAAGTAACCTTAAATAGATTATCCAGGTGGGTCTAATCACTGGAGCCCTCAGGAGGAGAATGCTTTCTCCAGCAGCGGGCTGTAGATGAGCCAGGGAGATTAAAAGCATGAAAAGGACTGAAGGTACTGTCTGGATATGAAGATACTAGCGGTCTTACGGAACTGAGAAAGCCCCCAGCTGGAACCCAGTGAGGAAATGGGGACCTCGGTCCTACAACTGCATGAAAATGAATTCTGCCAACAACCTCAACTAGCCTACAGGTGGATTCTTTCCCAAAGTCTCCAGAAAAGGGCCCGAAACTACAGAAACCTTTATTTCAGTTTTGTGAGATGCTAAGCAGAGTATACAGCTAAACCTACCTGGACCTCGGATCTATAGAAGCTGTGAGATAACCAATTTGTGATTTTTTTTTTTTGAACTGTTAAGTTTGTGATAAATTGTCGTCAGCAACAAGAATCTAATACACATATATAGAAAAGATACCCTAATTCATTGTATACCTCCCATGGACTCTAGAAAATTGATACCAAGACTACCAATCCCATGCTTACTAGTCTTAACTCACCAAAAGGTACACACTGAAAATATGAATTACCTGATTCGTTCAGGAAGGATTATTCTGAATTCTCTACCATGAAGATTAAATAATTCCAAAAGAACCTACATATGCATTAAGAAAATGATGCCACTGGAATTAATTACAGTAGGCTTCCTCGGGGCAATAAAATGTAACCATGAAAATAAAATGGAAAACAGAAACAGGAACGTAAGTAAAAAAAACATACTGTCACATACCGGTACACCAAAATGAACTTCTTAGGACTGCCAGGAGTTTGCTGCAACAATTCTGTTTTGAAAACACAAGGGTTTGAACTAGGCTGGTGACCGTGGAAAGGAGAAAACAAGCTTGACAACTGCGGGGGAGGGCAGGGAATTTTAACAAAAACTGGTGAAAGAAAGTGGAAGACAAAATCTAGAGACTGGGAAGCCCCAAGACTTAAACTGTTGGGAATCACAGCAAACACGTACAAACTTCATCTGCTAAAGAGCTGGCTAACAATTACTGTAGGATTAACCAGGCTTCGCACAACCACACTCTCGTCACACAAAGTGCCTCCCGGTGCCTGGTCTCAGGGCGACAAGGAGTTCAAAGCTCGGCTGGAGAAAACGGGGACGCAGAGTGCGACGAGAGCTCAGCCTCCTCCCACCACACCAAGAGCAGCTCTGCACACTCAAGAGCCCAAGTGAGAGAAATCTAAATAAGCAGCACTATGGACCAGCCCAGCGGCCCAACCTCGGGGGTACGTCTCCGACCCCGCAGGCAAGATGCCTGACAACACGACGCTCCCGCCGAGTCCTGGCGCTTCCGCCGTTCTACTCTACTTAACTCTATTCTAAGCAACTTAACTTTCCCCCACGATGCCCAAGGTTTGGGGGAGGAAGAGAGCGCTATCTCGTTGGGCCTGCGGGTTCTCACCGCTTGCGCTCCATCTACTCCGCCACAGCCGCTAACTGAGGAGCGGGAATTGGACGGAAAGCCGCGAGGGTCACGCCCCGCGGTCACCGGGGAACGAGGATTGGACGGAAAGCCGCGAGGGTCCCGCCCCGCGGCCACCGGGGAACGAGGACTGGATGGAAAGCCGCGAGGGTCCCGCCCCGTACTTGAAGCCAGGGACCAGCCGGGCCTGCGGGCTGGGAGGACCCAGCCCCTCTTCCCGTGGGCGTCCTTGGCAGGGAGGTCGGGTACAGGCTGAGCGCCTGGGAAGGGCTTCCCGGACGCCCGAGGAACGGCCGAAGCCCTGCGGCATAGCAGTTAACTACTTGTTGCAGGTGGAGCACCCCGCCGGGTCAGGGGATACCGCGGAGGCTGGGGGCCCGCAGTGCTCCACCCGCGCAGGTACACTTAACCGTCTGGGACCGATTCAGGAACTGGTGGCTTAGAATCGTTTTCACCCACTTTGTGCAAGACTCGGCGCCCTGTTTCCCTTCCTTTTCTAGCCCCAGCTCTGGCTTACCAGACGCTCCTCCCCCTTCCCAGTGAGACTCTTTGCAACCCCCAAGCAAGAATTTATACTAATGCCTCTGAAAGGAATCTTGTTCACCCTGTGTCCTGCTGGCAAGAGAGCAGTGACCGCAAAGATCCCTACTTACTCTCTTTCCCTTTATCCAACTGAGACTGAAGTTGGCCCAGCGTAGATAATGCTGGAGCACTCTGCAGCATGCCTGGCTTCCTTACCCTTCTACACTTCTTCCTGATCCCAAGGTCCGTGAATCCCGAGGGATGCTCACGCTACAAGCCTGGGGTTAATCTTTTCCTATTGCGCCAAAAAATGGGAGTTTTTAACCAAAGTGGAGCTAGACAAGTTCAAGAGGATCATAATGTAATTAACTTAGTTTCACAGGCTAGTCTATTTTACATTTCCCTTTTGAAACAAAACATACTGTTTCAGTTTTCATTTTAAATACATTGTTTCCTTTTTGTGGACGAAAAGACCAATAGTTTACACTGGCTCTGAACCAGATATCAATGATAAAGAACCGGATTTAAGATAAACATGTCATTACAGGTCCCAGTCCTTTATCTGTCTTTCCTAACTCCCTTACTAGTTAAATCTGACCTGAACGCAATTGAAGCCGTGTATAACCGGATAATTCACTTGGTGTGAATAGTCACAAGTTTTCTACGGAACTATTAACGTGTTTAATTACAGAGCAGCTCCAACCCTTGCTGGAGGTGTTGCATAATATATGACTGCACACCTTTCTAATAAAAGTTCTGAATTCTGAGATATACCAGGCCAAAAAGGCTTCAGATACGAAATTGAAATTACTTGTAGTAGTTATTTCTGAAGCTGTGATAAAGAACATATCTCAAAGTATGTAAATGCTGTGTTCTGGATAACGTTAAAATTGGTTTACAAAGGGGGCTCGTGGGTGGCTCAGTTGTTAAGCGCCTGCCTTCAGCTCAGGTCATGATCCCAGAGTCCTGGGATCCAGCCCTACATCGGGCTCCCCGCTCCGCGGGAAGCCTGCCTCTCCCTCTCCCACTCCCCCTGCCTGTGTTCCCTCTCTCGCTGTGTCTCTCTCTGTCAAATAAATAAAATCTT